AAAAAAATTCGTTTTCTATTTCGAAATTCTTTTTTTCCACTTTTATAACGAATTACAAATGTGAAATTAGGTTTAATAATATTACAAATTGCAATTTGTCATCAAGCAATCAAAGGATCTTTTAGGAAGAAGAAGATAGTTATAGAAAAGGAATTTGATGTAAGGTTGACAAAAATTGTTCCTCTTCGTTATCGAAATAATCGACAAAATGAAAATGTCAAAGTTCAAGCTGGGCAATAATTAATTAGAACTGAATAAAGTCGAAAAAACAACCCCTCATTTTCTCAAAAAATTGTGTGCACAAAATCTTTGACAAAGACCTAAGATATTAGGATAAGGGACCATTTGTTTACTGATAATTGAGAAAGCGAGCATTTTGCATTCCCTTATCATTTTAAAACAAATTATGACCTTAAACAGTGTATTGCGGAACCAGTGTTTTATAACTTTTTCCGGAAGTTGCGCCTTTACAGACATTTCCTTGATTTGTTGTTCACTGGGTGAATTATTGATGTCAAAATACTGCCGCAAAATTTTCAGCTGATCATCAGTGATGCGTGTTCGAGCTCTTTTAGCTGGTGATGCACTTGGGATTGCTAAAGAACAGAAGATCAAAAAGAAAATTAAAAAAAAAATGAAAAACATGGAAAGATGGGAGATAAACAAATGAACACAAGCCTAATTGTTAAAGCAATCTCATTCTGCGGCTCGAAGCTTTAAACATACCATGTGATATACTCGTGGCAGCATTCTGTGGTACGGAAAAAAGTGGATTTGCAAAAAAATCAGGTGGCATCAGCGGCACGAAAGGATTTGGCATGAACGGGAAACCAAGCATACTCATCATCGCTAACTGACTATTCAAATCGGGTGAATCCTTAGATGTCGATGGCCGAGGTGTAGCACCAGCTGAACTAGACCGCGTGTCCTCCTTCAGCTTTTTCGCCTAAATTTGAATGATTTAAAATAAAATTGAAAATCCACAAAATTTCTTTGGACTTTTAGTACATCCCAATTTAATTCATTAGTAATCATCTCCAGATAGAATCTCGTATCGTGATTTGTTCCAGTAAAACAACTCTTGAATTTGCGTTTTACTAAAGACCTATTATCCAAATGATGAAGATCGTCTTTGCATACATCGAAAACTTCTGTTTCCTGGAAAAGCAAAAGGACCCTTCCTTTGCATGAAAGAACTTTTCCTTAGAAAACTATAGAGAAATTGGAATTTCCAAAACTATCATGCTATATGATATTATGCAATTCTTAAATCATACTCAAGCCCTCTGTAGATTTGAAAGTTATGGAATGATGCATAGATTCCTACCCCGAGTGCACACTTATCATCCTCGGTTGTAGTTGAAACCTGACTGAATAAACACCCATTATCAGTGTTTAGTTCAGTGTCGTAACTACTACTCAGTGGTAGTTCATCTTTTCCCAATGTTCTCTTTTTACTTTCAGATACTGCAACCGGTGTCGTGGGAGGTACCGTGATACTTTGTTGTTCAACACTCAAATCGCTCTCGTCATTCTCCTTTTCTTCGCTTTCATCCAACGCTTCATGCAATCGTCTGGCAAAATTTTCAACCTCTATTATCGGCACGACATTTGCGTGAACCTGAAATAAGTAAACGGTTGTAACTGATATTTCACATCAAAAGTTCATATGATAACTATATATTTTTTAATACTATGCGAAAATGAATAGTAAACCATAAGGGATGGTATCAGGAAGTGACCAGACATCAAGAATAACTATCAAGGAACCAGTTGTGAAAGCGGACGAATCCAGAAATACGAAGACTTGATGCTGAAAGACGATGACTGAATAATGATCAAAACTCCTCTACTTCTTCATAATGAGCTTTGAGTATCCAGATATTGCTAAAAATTTTGTTGCACTCTGTGCATTCGGCACGGCTTGAATTCCGAATCGCTTCATCCGATAGTGTGTCCAATTTGCGCCGTGGTTGCTCTAGACCTTCATTATATTGCATCACCACATCGAAACCTGGAAAGTCTGTGCTTGAAGTCAGTAACGCTTCTAAAATTTGGTTACTAGAAATTCGTTATTGCCGAACTTATTCATCTTACGAAAAGCTAAGGAGGTGGGAATTAGGTATTCAGCAAAAAAAGAGAATATGAAAATGCCAATAACAAATTAATGCATATTCTATGGAAAATAACTCCAGCTAAAAAGCAACTCCGCTAACCATAAGCTTCAAGCATCTTGCGAAAAGCAGCGCCAGTACGAGGAGTTCGTTCATCATCAACGGACGTGATGGACTGTTCGCTGGTTGCTTTTGATGATGTTGCAGCACTATCGGTTGAAATCGGTAACTGTCCTGTAAGATATCTTTTAGTTAAGTAAGACATATCCATTTGGTTCAATAAAAACAATCTCAGAGGCTGTACAATTCAAGCTTGAAATGAACTAAAGAAATGTTTAGTTACACGCGAACAGAACGAACAGAAACTTGAAAAATAACATGGAGAAATAGATCTGGAATAATTTGAAATTCGTTTATTAATGACGACTTGCTTGATCCAGAAAATTCAGATAGAATGGGTGAAATCATAGAGGGACAATCATTTCAAATTCTATCAGAATTTGAATGAAAAAATCTAAAATAGATGGAGAAAACAGTAAACATTGTTACATATACATGTTCATTCATTGACAGATTTTATATCATATGACGAAAGAGCCAGAAAACGCAAGAAAAGAGGATTTTAACCGGATTGTGCGGCATCTCAGGATTTTCCCGCCCATTAATTAAAGAAAGGAAATCAGTGAAGACGGACCTGGTAATTCCAATCTGGGCAATCAGCTGAAACTAACGT